GGAAGTTCTTTACTGTCAGGCTGCATGCCTGCCTGTGTCAAATTCCATATAGGCTAGCGTATATTATGAATTGAGAAACCTGAGGGATGAACAAAAATTCCTTTTGTTGTCCACTGTAAACATGTCACATAGACTTGAGGATACAGGAGAAAAGCATAGTATTGCTCTCTGTTAACCATACAAAGCTAAAGTTTGTATATTTATAAACACAAAGACCATTCACTTGTGGCTAAATACCTTTTTGGAATGAGAGGAAAAACTGTTCATTGTTTGATTGTAGGCAAATACCTATCTGGGACTTTTTAGGTCCCAGAATGAAAATTTTCAAAGTCTGTCGAATCTTAAAATAATGAGGAAGGCAATGAATACATAGCAAGGCTAGAAGAGAAAGCTTACCATTGTGTCATTTAAACCAGTGGGGTTTTTCTTGTTTTGGGTTTTTTTTTTTTTTGCGGTACGCGGGCCTCTCACTGTTGTGGCCTCTCCCGTTGCGGAGCACAGGCTCCGGACGCGCAGGCTCAGCGGCCATGGCTCACGGGCCCAGCCGCTCTGCAGCATGTGGGATCTTCCCGGACCAGGGCACGAACCCGTGTCCCCTGCATCGGCAGGCGGACTCTCAACCACTGCACCACCAGGGAAGCCCCCCAGTGGGGTTTTTAACAGCACCCTCCCACCCCGGGATCATAAAGCTTAACATGTGTTTGTGCTGTTGCCTTGGCATTATATGATACAAGTTGAAGAATCTTCCTAGGGAGTTAATATGCACGAGTTGAGAAATCATTCCTTATTTCCTTTATCATTCTTTACTGCAGTTAGCCAGGGCACCAAACATGGTAGTGTGTTCAGCTGACCACTACCAAACCATTAACAGGCCACAAACAGAGGGAGGAAAGTCTTCAATTAGAAGATAGGAATTAACCGTAACAGATTGAAAATAAGACAACCCAAGGACATATGAGTCCCCTTTGATGAGAAATGAAGAAGTCACAGGTCTCACTGTCAGAGACAGAGGCAGAGCCATCTGGTCCAGGAGTGCATCCCTGCCCTTCTTGGTCCCAGAGCCCAGAGGACTACGGGTCACCTGCAACTCCTCTGACACGCTGTGCTTTCTGATGGGGACCCTGGCGGTACAGCCCCCATCAGGCTGGGATCCGCCACTGTGAAAAATCACCATCATTCCTATCCCTTCACTGCTGAAGCCAAAGCGGTTCTAAGGAAACCAGAATGTCTGCAGTACCCTCTCTCATGAGCTCCTTGGATGAGAAAAGAGGCTTGGTTACTGCTTTCCAGAGTTGTTAAAGTGTTACGTTTGGCATCTCTGGATGAAAATTTGTATTGTATTTAGCATCTGTATCTTCAGAGAGAATTATTTCTATAACGGAAGGTAGTAGGGAGAAATAAAACTCAGAATTCATGTGGCAAGCTATCAATGTAAATCAACTTAGGGAAAAGATTCTAAAGAAAGAAATAAAGGTGGCTCATATCTTAAAAAAAAAAACCTTATTTCTCTTAGGGGGAAAAAAGCAGAACAAGGGGCTTCCCTGGTGGTGCAGTGGTTGAGAGTCCACCTGCCGATGCAGGGGACACGGGTTTGTGCCCCGGTCCGGGAAGATCCCACATGCCACGGAGCGGCTGGGCCCGTGAGCCATGGCCGCTGAGCCTGCGCGTCCGGAGCCTGTGCTCTGCAACGGGAGAGGCCACAGCAGTGAGAGGCCCGCGTACCGCAAAAAAAAAAAAAAAAAACACAAAAAGAGGAACAATGTTGTAAAGGCTGCTCAGAAATGGCTGCATGTTTCTCCAGGTATGGTACCGCTCATCTGCTGGCCTAGGCTTTAAACCCACCAGCACATTGCTGTTAGTCCCACTGAAGGGATGAGAAAGTGAAAGGTCATTGAGAGACTTTTAAAAAATAACAATACTCTTTATGCTTAGAGCAGTTTTACATTTACTGAAAATTTAGCAGATGACATGGAGGGTTCCCATATACCCCCTCTCCTGCTGGCAGTTTCCCCTATTATCTTGCATTAGTGTGGTACTTTGTTACAAATAGTGAACCAATATTGATACATTATTAAGGAAAGTCCCTAATTTACAGAGTTCACTCCTGGTGTGTGGTACATCTGTGGTTTTGACAGATGCATCATGTCACGTATTCACCATCACGGTGTCACATAGAATAGCTCTCCTGCCCTAAAAATCTCCCGTGCTCCACCCATCCCTCCACCCCACCCCGATGCCTCAGGTGATCCTCCGTGTGGCTTCTGCGGTGCGCCCTCGGCCTGCGAGCCTCTTTGCCCTCCCGTCATGAGTTGGCGCTTGTTCATCCTTCGGTTCCCACACAAGCATCATTGCTCAGGGCGCCCCTTGCTTGCATGCTGCCCTCCACTCCCCACACTGGATCGGATCTCTGATCTGTCATCTTTCCTCCTTCCCTGTGCTTTGCCTTCCATGCAATGGTCACAGGTTTCATGTATACAGTTGGGTGAATAACTTGTCTGTGACACTGGCTTGGAGGTTCCTGAATGAGTAATAGGGCAGGATGAAGAACAGAGCTATTTCAGATCCCATTCCTCAGTCCCGCTGCTCGTGCTTAAGCATGTTACCCGCGTTACCAATAACTCAGGACAGGAGCAATTTTTAAATCCCCCTTAAAAAAAAATCTGCAACTTTAGGCTCTATTTCCTGATTCCCGTATGATGTAAAATGATGAGAAAATAAAGACCACTGCACTTTCTTCTACTCTTTTCCTTACTTGTGCCTTCTGACAATTATAGCATTACTTTTACACTGAAATATGTAGAAAATTTCTGTAATTATAATATGGTTTATATGCCTTTGCTCTAAATTACACTAAAAGAAAAACACCAAAGATCATTATTCAAGAATGAGATAAGTTTTTATTTCGCTCCTGAGTTTTTCCCATGGCTGTCTCCCAATTATTCCTCTTTCTTGAATTACTGTTTTTAGTAATTACTCATAATTACTGAATTATTAGAATATTTTCTCTATTTTTTTCCTTCAGAAGAGTCTAAGAATTTCTAAATCTTGTATCACTTCATATCTAAAGTATGTGTTATTTTATTTTTATGAGATTTCAGTGTTGGGTCAGTAGTACTCGTTAGTTCATAGCACATTACCATCTCTGGTCCAGGCAAGAATCCTCATTGGTTGATTGATCCATTGCTTCCCTTTTGTCCCTATATCATTTCCCATTACGCAGACATGTTAGTGTGTGTGTATATATGAATATACATTTTTAATTTTGTTAGTAGAAAAAGTGCCTTATTGTGTTTGCATTTATTTTCATTTACATAGATAGGTTCTGTCATTTATCACGATTCTGTTTCCTACTATGTGTACTGTGTTTTCTATCCATCCACATTTCTCTGTGTGCATCTAATCCATTGCTTGGTGTATATCTACAAGTGTTGCTTACCTTTCTTCCAATGATGGACACCAAGTTCAAATGTATTTTAAATTTTCTTTAAAAATCTTCCTTGTGGGCTTCCCTGGTGGCACAGTGGTTGAGAGTCCGCCTGCCGATGCAGGGGACACGGGTTTGTGCCCCGGTCCAGGAAGATCCCACATGCCGCGGAGCGGCCGGGCCCGTGAGCCATGGCCTCTGAGCCTGCGCGTCCGGAGCCTGTGCTCCGCAACGGGAGAGGCCACAACAGTGAGAGACCTGTGTACCGCAAAAAAAAAAAAATCTTCCTTGTGTTTGAATGTATTTAAGCCCTTCTAATTGAATTTGTGCCCTCTGATTGAATGTTCAAGTGGAAATATATGTATATGAATTGTACAGGCAGTAAATGTCTGAATGAACTTGTGTTAAACACAAGGATTCCTATGTATAATAATCTAGAGAATTGTTTTCCTAATAAAAGCAATCTTTTGACAAAAGACAAATCCTGCTTGCATGTTGAGACCTGGATACAGTAGAATAAGTTCTCAGAAACTTACAATATACAGCACAAAAGGCATAGTTGCAATAAAAGTAAAATGACTGTACAAGGAGACCTAGATACCTTAGTTTGGTAATATGTCATATATTAAATACACTTTAAAGCAATATTTTATTAAAATGAAGAATATCTTTTGGAGCTTATTCCTTCAGAGTTATTTGAATTATGAAAAATACATTTTTTACTCTATTATTGAATGCATGCATGTCTTGACATTTTCCCATAAGAACTTGAGGTATCTTTCTACAAAGACTGTATACCCTGAGGATAATGAATAGGGTAGGAATGGAAAAGCATTACTTTGTAGGAGAGGCATTTCCAAGTATTTTATTTAAAAGCAAAGCTTGTGGCCTTGATTGAGCATTACATTTAACTTTAACCTTCTTGTAAACTGAAAAATTGAAAACATGGTAGATTATATCAGTTTTCATAATCAGAATAGAAGAAGCATACTCATTTCTCAGGGCAGATGCTCTATTTCCTGGTAGAGGTACGCCCCACTGAGCATCTCCTAGAGCAGCTGTGGGTACAGGAAAGAGGCTAACCATTAGTAGGGTTTACACTGAATTCTCAACGTTAGAAGCCCAGTTCTCAGATAAAAAGCAGAGATTTTACTGAGGAAGCAATGTTGTATTTACACTCAAGCAAGTGTTTGATTAAGAGCCTAGAATTCTGTATCACTTAGTGCTATATCTTTAGCACGTGGAATCTTGGAAGTGGCAGGTATAGGTAGGAATTCTGATTCTGCCCCTTGCTACCTGTGTGGTCCTGGACACATTTAATCTCTGCAAACTTCAATTTTCTGATATATAAAGGTGATAATTAACTACCTTGTAAAACTGTTGCTAGGATTAAGTCAGGTGAAAGTTCCTAGGATAATTCAGTACGTACTACATAAGTGTGTTGTTAGGATTAAGTGTGATAAACCACGTGAAGTTCCTAGGATGGTACCTGGTGCGTATGGCCAGGTCTTCAGTGAGCATTAATGGGCCTTCCTTTCCCTTCCCCATCTTAATGAGCCTTCCTTCTCTACCTCAGGGAAAGCACAAATTGCATGTCGATACTGGAATGGAAGGTGATTGGTGTGGCCTCATTCCTGTTGGACAGCCATGCAATCAGGTTACGACAACAGGCCTAAAGTGGAACGTCAGTAAGTAAAACCCTTGCACAAAGGGAGGTTTTCTTTCTTTCTTTTTTAAAAAATTTCTCTTGATAAATAATTAGAAGTGGAATTGCTAGGTCATATGGGAACTCTATGTTTAACCTTTCAAGGAACTGTCAGACTATTTTCCAAAGCAGCTGTACCAATTTTATATTCCTACCAGTGATGTATGAAGGTTCCAGTTTCTCCATATCCTCACCAACACTTGTTGTTATTATTATTCCCATCCTAGTGAGTATGAAGTGTTATCTCATTGTGGTTTTTATCTGCTTTTTCCTGATGACTAATGATGTTGAATGTATTTTCATGTGCTTATGGGCCATTCGTATATTTTCTTTGGAGTAATGTCTATTTAGATCTTTTGCATATATTTTAATTGGGTTATCTCTTTTTTTATGTTGCGTTGTAAGATTCCCTTATGTATTCTGGATACAAGTCCTTTATCAGATATATGATTTGAAAATATTTTCTCAGAGTCTTTGACATATCTTTTTATTTTCTGAAATTTAATTAACTAAGTGTATTAAGTTAATCTAATTTAAATTTGATGAAGTCTAATTTTTTCTTTTATGGATCATACTTCCGGTGTCGTATTTAAGCACTCTTTGCCCAGCCTTCTTCACGATTCCGTACGCCTGAAACCTACTTTACTTTTCCAGAGAAGTAGCTATTCTTACTAAAATAGTTATTTTTATAATCAAACACCTGAGATTTTATAAGATTAACTGTTCTTACTAAATTTTAAAGTGTTCTTCAGTACTTATGAACTGTATTCAGTACTGTACCTCGGTACTAGTCATACTAAAACTGTCTGGTTTGAAAAGAACAAAAAATGAGGTGGATCTGTTCATGAAATAAATTCCAAAAGAAACTATCAGGCATTATGAAATGAATCATCCCTAGTCTCTAAGAATAACAGTAGTTTAATCAAAGGGCTTTGACTGAATGTCAAAGGGATTATTTCATGATTGACCAATACCTCTAAGGTTGTAAAAAGTAAAATACGGAACCATGTCATTCTTCTATAACATGTAAAACTTTGAGGTTCCTACAAGGAAATAAATATTTCAAGAAATAAATACATTGAAGATTAAAAGATATTTTAAAAGGCCTTTCTATGAGGCATTGCTGAAACAATTAGGAAAAGAACTAGAGATATTTTGAAGGAAATGTCTGGCAATCTCATCAGAATTTGAAAGGACGGTGAGAACAGATCTCCTCCAGTGCATAGAAATCTGTGTGACAGGCTTTGAAGCGGTTAGCTGAAACTGACATGAGCTCCCATCAGAAGCTTTATTTGAAAACATTTCCAGCCTAAAACAGTTGTTTTACTGTCTGGAGCTCCCATTCTTTCCAAGGACCCAGTCTAGACAATGGTGAGTTTCCTCCTGGATCTGGTAGTGACCTCACTTTCCAGGGCCAACGCCAAGACACGCTGGGCACTGTGCAAAGTGAACAGGAGGGTTGACCGTATAGCTTCCTTTATCTTACAGGAACAGGCAAGAGTTGGAGGATACAAGAGATTCTTCTGTGCTCGTTAGAACATCCTCAGAACCCTTGCATTCCACACCAAAATGCACATCCTAATTCGTTTTTTTCTAATTGAAACTTATAAAAATGTTTTATACAATTTTTAAAGGTTATATCCATTTACAGTTATTACAGAACATTAGCTATATTCCCCGTGTTGTGCAGTACATCCCGATCGTACACCCAGTAGTTTGCACCTCCCACTCCCCTCCCCCTGTATTGCCCACCCTCCACCCGTAACCAATAGTTTGCTCTCTGTATCTGTGAATCTGCTTCTTTTTTGTTATATTGACCAGTTGGTTGTATTTTTTAATTCTACATATAAGTGATATCATACAGTATCTGAATAATAACATTTAGTCCAGGAAGGGGCCTTGGGCATGACGGAGCTTTTAATTTTCTTGTCTGTGATAATGTTTCAGTCCTGCTGAAATGCTCTACACTATTACTTACCTATATATTTACAGATTGCTTCAACTTTTGAAATAGATACTTTTTTCTCTACAACTCTGTGAAAATAAGAAATAGGAACTTCACAGGATATGAAAAGCAACAGAGTTGAGACGCAAATGTTTCATCAATGGTATGTGGTAAAAGTGCTAATGAATGGGGTCTTCTGATAGGTAATATTGCCTCATTAAAAAGCCATAAAAATAACTGTGAAATGACACCATGTTGGCTTGGAGAGACGTGGATAGATCTTTTTCACAGAGAGGGTCCTGCTTTACTCAGTGTCATTATGAAAGCAGAGCTCGATGTCAGTTTGTCTGTCACCCCTACAAAGTGGCAGGACAGGGCTGGACCCAGAGGAGGAGAAAGGAGCTATAGTAACTTAGGAGTTGCTCACATCCTGGGTCAAGGAGCATAAGCAAGTCCTCATAAGGAAATGCAGCACAGTCTTCCTCAGGCGGTCTGGAGGCTGGCACTCTCCCTGTCTGCACCCACACTAAAATATGAGTCCACTTTCCGATACGAATCACCTGTTTCAATCTGTGCTATCTCCCATCACGGTCTGTGTTTAAAACAAGTGCCTGTGGTGGTACCACCATCCAGAAGTGTATCTTTACTAATTTTGTTGAAACTACCTCTATTATAATACTTTAATTCATAGCAATATACTGTGAACAGTCTGTGGTGTGTGTCTGGCACTAGAGTTTCTCTAGGCTGTGTACACATGGGACTAAAACAGCTGCATCATAGGCAATAGCATCCTCATCTTCACTAGACCTGCCATATAGCTCTGAGAGTGGAAATGCCAGTGTCCACTTGTCTCAGGAGTACGCAGGCGTTCCCGTGCTTCACGTCCTTACCCTGTTCTCGGTATTGTCAGATTTAATCGTTTTTGCCAGTCTGCTGAGTGTCAGTGATATTTCACTGTGGTCTCTGATTGCTGGTGAGGGAGAGCGTCTTTTTGTAGTTAGTAGCCATGTGGATTTCCTCTTCTGTGAATTGCTACTTTCTTCTGCCCTTTTAGCCCTTGGACTGTTTGTTTCTTTCTTACTAATTCTTAGAAGCTCTTCAGACCCTAATGATCTTCCTCCTGGCTATACATTGCCTTTGCCATTTGTTTATGCCATTTTTGTACACAGAGAGGTTATTAAGTTAAAGGTAGTCAAATTTATCAGTCTTTTTCTTTCAGATTTGTAATTTCTGTGTCATAAATCATCTTTCTATTCCCTGTGGTTGTAAAGATGTTCTCACAGTTTAGTTTTGAGGGCGATTTTTTTAGTTTCTCCTTTCACCTGAAATTGATTTTTGTGTATGATATGAGTTAGGGATCTAATTTTCTTTCCTTACTGATAACCAGCTGCCCTAGCATCGTTTATCATCCTTTTTCCAGTGATTTGTGATATACCATAAGTTTCCATATTCATGGGTATGTTTCTTTGATCTCTAGTCTCTTCCTTTGACTTACATTCTTCTTCCTGTACTGATACCACACTGCCTTAATTAACATAGCTTTATAATAAATATTGAAATGTGTTGAGTCTACCAACCTTGTTCTTCGAAATTTTCATGGCTATTCCTGGCTTTTTTCTCTTCTTTGTAAACTTTAGCATTAGCGTGACAAGTGTCACGCATACAATTCCATCGTAATTTTTATTGGGATTACATTTAATTTACAGATTATTTTGGGGAGACCAGAACAATTGGGGAAGAGAATTCCTGCATGAAACTGAGTCTTCCCATCCATAAACATAATGTACCTCTCCATTTAATTAGAACTTTTTAATTGCTTTTGATAATTAAAAAAATTTGTCTAAAAGATTCTGTACTTCTTACATAAGATTTGTCTGTAGAAACCTTGTATTTTGTGCTGCCGTTGTAACTACACCTTTAAAAATTACAGGACTTCCCTGCTGGTCCAGTGGTTAAGACTCTGTGCTTCCAATGCAGGGGGTGTGGGTTCAATCCCTGGTCGGGGAACTAATAACATTCTGCGTGGTGCGGCCAAAAAATAAATAAAAATGATATTTTCTGAGTTCATTGGTGCTATATACACATACAAATGACTTCAGTATATTATATTAATATATTTCTGAATACTTTCATTGTTTCTAAAAAAGTGACTTGGGTTTTCTATAGAGCCACATTTTTGTTAGTAATCGAGTTTTCTTTCTTCTTCATCTGTAACAAATAGGATTGTGTTCAGTTATGAGTAACTGCCCCCCTGTCCCCCTTCATGTAACAAAGTATAGAGTTAAGTAGTTACAGGGCAAGGTTTCTATGGTTTCCTCAGCCTTTGCCTCACAACATAAGATGTCTCTGTTGCAACTCCAGCCACTATGTTCCCCGTTCGGCATCAGGTGGGAAAAAACGGAAGAGAGGAAGTAGGGCAGCACATATTGCAGGAAAACAAGGCATCAGGGATTCCCAACATTTCCAGAAATCCTTCCTGCATCTAATCTTTTGCCTCAGTGGCTAGAACTATCAAATACCACCCTAGCAGCAAAGGAGTCTGGGACATGAAATTTTTTAATCTAAGGACATAGTCACCCCAAAAAAAACCGAGGTCCTGTCAGTGAGGAAAGAAAGAATGAGTAGGAGTCTGCTCTTCTTTCAAAAAAATGCCTTTTCTTTGTCTGCCATCTTGATGAACACTTTAGCCACATATATAATAAAAACTCTTTTAACTTTCTTCCAGCCATACTCTTCTGGATTTCTGTTGTTGCTGTCGATGAATCCACAATCAGACTAATTCTTATTTGTTTATAATGTCTCTAACTCTATCAACTCTTTAGACCTTATGTTTTTCTTTGATGTTCTGCAGATTTACTACAGTATGTTTAAGTGTAACTTCTCTCTTGTTCTAGTTGGTTTTCCTTAGCTCTGATAATTGGTGTTCATTGATTCTGAAAATTTTTCAGATATCCCCATTTTTCAGACAAGGGCATGGTAGTTCAAAGCCCTAGTTAGTGATTTGCCCAAATTCATATCATTAAGGGATTGATACACTC